CTCATCAAATATTCATCAAGCACTTATTTTTGTGTCAAGCACTATCCTGGTTATTAAGCACACCATGATAAACAAGACCAATGTGGTCATTGCCCTCAGGAAGTTTATAACTGGCATTTGAAACTGATGTTAATCAAATAAACAAACAACTGCACAATTACGAGCTATGTTTAGGAGGAAATAAAGACAGGATGCTGTTGAGGAGGATAGCGTACCTTCCACAGATTGGAGTTCTCTAGGGTGACATTCAAGAGTCCAAAGATGAAAGAAACCCACCACACGAGTAGTTGGGAAGAGAGATTTCCATAGCAGAGGACACAACAGTGACATCCCTGAAAAGAACATAAAACAGTGTGGTGGAGAATAGGGCATGAATGGAGATGGAGGTGGGAAGGAGACACAAGCTAAATCATGTAGGCTTCTGTAGGCTATGTGAATAATTTTGGGTTTTAATCCAAGAGCAGTGGGAATCTACTGAAAGTCTTAAGCAAGGAATGGCATAATCTACCTTATGTCTCAGAGATTGTGTCAGATGCTATAGGGAGACTCACTGCAGAAGGACAAGGGTGGAAGGAAGGAAAAGAGGGGTTACTGTGGTAGCCCGTGTGAGAAAGGACAGCTTGGCAGGCCAATCCCTGGAGTGGGTTAACTACACAGGTTGTCCTGAGGAGGACACGTGGTTCGTAGTACATTGCACTGCTCTTTTTTGAACAGTACTGAACTGCAGTTTTGAAATTTTTGTCTTTACCAATCTCCTCGAGGGTTTATGAAAGATATCCATAGCCTTCTTTTATGTGTGATAGTTTTGAGCATCCTACCCTGGTCTCATCCTTCCAGAGAATGCCCTGTAGCTTGAACTATACTGGTGAAAATTTAGGCGAACTTAAGTTAATAAAATCCACTATGTTTGAAGATAATACTAATAAGATTTGTAGGTATATTATACAGGTGAGGTAAAGGAGAGCAAGGAATTGAGGATAATGCCAAGTGGTGACTGTACCACTTACTGAGATGAGGAAATGAGGGAGAATGAAGAACAGGCTTGGAGAAGAAATATTTCTATTTTGGATTTGTCACAATAAAGATGTCAATCAGGTAGAGCCATCAGGAAGCTGGATGGAAACACCAGCATAGAGCTGGTAGCATAAAGCTCAGCAGAAACATTTGGTAGTACTGTTGTATAAAAGCTACACAAATAGATGAGAACCCTTCAGATGATCTGTGGAAGAAAAAAATTATCCAAGATCAAATCCTAAGGAAGTTCGGGAAAAGAAGAAGAGACGGGAAAGTAAGAAAGAATTACCAGAAAGGTCGGATGAAGAGCAGGAGAATGGAGTCTCACGAAAGCAAAGGGTCTAGTTTGGTTCTAGAAGTATTGATGGTGTGAAAATGTGGCAAGTGAAAGGATGACTACAGAGAGGCATCTTTGGGGTTTGCCAACCAGAAGTTTCACTGTTGTGGGTGGAAGAGGACAGGCTGAGTAGCCAGTTGGGAATGAAAAGCTTTTTCCTTCTGGTTTCAGCCAGTGGACCTGAGGACATTGTTTGGATGAGGGAGCTGCAGAAATCCCAGCAGGCCAGATGTGTCAGTTGCTTTCTTTCTAGAATGCATCTCTGTGATTTCTAATTTTAATTAGGACATTTCAGACAGGAAAGACTATAGAGCACATCATGTTTGATCACTACTTTGTAAATGAGCATGATCACATGCTTTAGCCAGTGCCCAAGTTCAAGAAAGAAAGAAAAGAAGAAGGGAGAGGAGAAAGAAAGAAGGGAATAAAGAAAGCAAAAACATTGTCCAAAGGAATCAGAACTAAATGTAATTCTTCTGTCTATAGTGTGTCAAGATTTCATGAAAACTAGATTTTGAAATGTTAGAGAAGTCTCTTCCTATCCACACTTCATGTCACCTTGAGGTAGGGATAGGGCCAGTTGGGTAAAGAGGCTGCCTGCCTCTTGGTGCTTTATGGAGCTTTGCAGGTTCATGTCTGTAAGGACACCACATGTTTAGAGAGGAAATATTTAGAATTGAACTGGAGAGAGCCTTTCCACAAAAATGGAAAATATGAAACCATACATATATGTTCACTTTGAAATCATTTTTACTTTATGATAAAATGGTAAAATTTTAATTTCTGATTAATATTCTTAATGGGAATTTCTGATTAATATTCTTAACATTTAATGATCTATAAACAAACTCTAGGGAAATCTTTTTATAATAAGAGAAAGCCCTTTGTATTTGTAAATGGAGAATCACTTAAGGAAGGCAAGAATAGAAGGAAAGAGAAGAGAGCCTCCCTTTATCTCAGAAGTAACCTGAGGCCATCTGATGGCCATTTACATGTGTGGTTCAACATTTTTCATATTCCTGGACAACAACTCTCCAGTTCAATACCAGACACATGGTAGGTAAGATGTTCTGGAATAAAAGCTAAGTATTCTGTTCAGTGATGGTACTTAGCTACTGTTGGTTAGCAGTGGCCACTGAGCATGTTCATTTCACAAGTTTGGATCCTATTTGCAAGGTAACAACTTGGGACAGTTTTCTCAGTAAGTGAAAAGAGTAAAGAAGCCCAAATTTTACTCCTGGGTGGCCTATTTTGTAATCTTGGTCAAGTTACTTAACCTCTCTCTGCTTCAATTCCTCCTTCAGGAAATGGTGTGAATAATGTCAGCCTTCTCCCTATTCTCAGAAGTAATTTAAGGCCAGCTAATTGACTCTACCATATGTGATGTAATGGTAGGGAAAAGAGCTATTACAATGTGAAATATCATTACTCTGGTTCAAGTCAGAGACTACCCTTGCACACACTATCCTATAGCTAGGCCTCTGAAGCCTACTTTTAACTACCCCACCCTTGGTACCAGGAATTGAACCTAGGGGTGCTTTACCATGAACCACAGCCCCATTCCATTTTATTTTTTGAGACAGGGTCTTGCTAAGTTGCTTATGTCCTCACTAAGTTGCTAAAGCTAGACTTGAATTTGTGATCCTCCTGCTTCAGGCTCCTGAGTCACTTGGATTGCAGGGATGTGCCACCATACCTGGCCCACTTTTAACTCTTTAAAGCAAAATCTTCCTATGTGGGTGAAGTTACCACTATCATTGATTTTGAACTCTACTGCAGCCCAAAGGACCTAGTCCCCTTTTCATTGAACATTTTTGCATTGGTTGCAGATTGTTCTTTGAGATAAACAGGAATATCTGAAGTATAGCAAAACCACTACTGGGAATCATAGCACATAGGAATAACTGACCTATTGCACTTATCTAAAACCTCACCTCCAAATCTGCTACCAAGGCAGCTTCCACAGGAGCCCAAACCCTAGCCACTGTAGCACAGAGGAAAAATATGGCTCAACTATGTGAAAATAGTCATCATAACCCTCTAATTGCAAGTATTTCTCATAACCATGAGGTTGGACATTTTAGCCCCATCTTATAAAGGAAGAAATTGAGGCACAGAGAGATCCAGTGGTTGGCCCAAAATCACATTATTGGTAAATAAATGCCAGAGGTATGATTAGACTCCGGGTCTTCTGATGCTTTCTTAAGATTTTTTACATAGCATGTGAAAATGATAATGGACATCAATCTATGGAAAGAAGGAAGATAACACTGTGCCTAAAATATTCAAATTGCACATCAAAAGAGAGAAGTTTTTTTAATAACTGATTTGATATTCTAAGGGTGGCCAGAATTATTGGAAAAATCAACCCCACTGCCTTCCTCCTCTGCTCATCTCTTTATAGGTCAATATCAAAGGTACCATATAAGAAGCTTCAACTTAAACACTTGACTTTCACAGACTGTATATGCATGGAACTTGCATCATATACACTGAGACTGGTGTGTGGGGCTGAATCTTCCAGCTAATAAGGGATGCTCACCAGCCACCTAGAATTCAATTATGAATGTGGTTTTTTTCTTTTTGGTTCCCCACCCATGACCCTATATCAATTTCTCAGAGAAAAAAATTATAGTTTAGAATGGTGTTACAAAGTTTGAGGATTTCCAAAGTCAGGAGACATATTTGTCACAAATATCAAGGTTTCACTGCATTGAATTGTCCTGCTTCGATTTTGCTTTAGTGGGCAGAAACTCAAGGATAATGTTGTTGCTCATGGTAGTAACTAACTCATCTTGGATTTCTAACACATCTGTCCTTCTGACTTGGCTTCTGACCAGTGGTTGCTTTAAAAAAAAAAAGTCACTTTTCATTTTTATCATTCTGCTTTATATGTGTCTTGATGTTGTAAATTGTCTTAAATCCTTTTTGGAAATGGTTTACATCCTAGATAAATGCTGAAACTAGGCTTCCTAGAAAGAACCATTTATTATTTAGTCTGGAGGCATTCCATGTTAGAACTACAAAAAGAATTAAGGACAATGGTGTTTTTTAAAGGCAAAATGACAGTGAGAGTTTTTTGGTGAATTTATTCAAATTCTGAGATTATCTGGCAGTAGCTAAGGATTATGCTTTGAGTGACACCTAATGGTTGAGAAAGTCACTCTCCCCAACCACTTCAAACTACCCAGAACATTTTTTCCTTAAACCTTGGCTGTCTTCTTCAGAACTGCCTTGCTAATAGTTAAAAATATAGAGACATGTAGGCCTTTTACTGCTGGGATCTCCCAGCCTGGTCCCTGGGCAATGCATCCAGAGTGATTCCAATGTTTACTTGAGTTTGAGAATCATTGATTCAAGTGCTGCCAAGTCAATGTGCCCAAAGCACTGTCAGGCCTGATGGCACCTCAAGAAGTTAGAGGGCCCAGGAGAAGGGTAGACCTCCCTGGTCTACCAAAGGGCGCGGGCAGAGTAAGAGAAAGCACAAAATCCCCCTGGGCGCGGGCACTGCCCTCCTGGCAGTAAGGGTGGGGGTAGCCTGGGGCCTTGAAAGCAGTCCCCCGGGGCTGCCTGCCTTTGTCCCCGGGTGGTCGCGGGAGTGTCGGACCTGCGCTGCGGACGGCCTAACGCCTGTTCTCCGTGTCCACAGACGAACCCAACTCCTGGAGTTCTCCCGCTGCCGCCTCCCCAGGTCTGCCGGAAGTAGGCGTCTCCCTCGAGGACATCCTCTCTCCATTCTCTCCATCGCATCCAGCCCCACCCTCCGACCCTTCCCACCAGATAAGCCCAGACCCGACTTGGGATATCAAAAGGGAACACGACGTTAGGAAACCAAAGGAGCTTTCAGCCGGCGGCCAGAAGAAGCAGCGCCTCGGGGAGCAGAGAGAGCGCTCGGCGAGTCCGCAGAAGGCCGCGCGGCCGAGGCTCGAGGAGGCGCCCGGCGGCCAGG